TCGATCACCACCGGCGCCATTTTCTTGTGGCGTCCGCCGGCAGCGGCTCTGCTTCCTTCCCTGCATGCGCGCAACTTCCCTGCATGCGTACACATTGTCCGCAGGTAGAGGACAATGGCGCTTGCGAACGTCCTCAGCAGCATGTCGCGTCGCTTGTCAGGTTTGCTGAGTAAGCACATCTTGAAGGGGGCGACGTACTTTGAACCTCGGAAGGATGTCGTCAGGAGCGAGACACCCAGACGGCTGACGGGCCTCCTGATCTTCCTGCCCGCTTCTTGGAACACTTCACGTGAGTGGCAATACTTGTCGCCACTGCCGCGCTTGGCATGGCTGGCGCGACCGTCAGAACCGATCTCTTTGAGTAGATCGGTAAGCTGCCTGCGGTCCTTAGTGGCCCGAAGTATCGAAAGACCGGTGCAGGAGCTGAATCGTTGTAGGATGGTCAGACGTCTGTAGGATCCAACCAGCAGGCGTAGTCCTAGGAAGGTATGCATACGGTTGTGGACCGCCGGGTAGTAGGGCTATGCCGTTTTCTCATATGGCTTGATGCTGGTTCGCTCGGTTATCTTGTGAATGGCTTCTTTGCCGAAAGCACTTTAAGACCTCCACCTCGGTTATGACGCGCTTGGTGCCTGCTGGCGGGACTCACGCCTGTACGTTGTGCCAAAATGTGACCGTTGTCACGTCGCGGCGTGTGGCTGTGGATGAGCAGAACACCCCGCGGCGTGTGGGCTGTGGCTGAGCAGAACACTCTGTGGCGTGTGGGCTGTGGCTGAGCAGAACACAACACTTTGTGGCGTGTGGACCGTGCCGTGGTTGGGCAGAACACTCTGTGGCGTGTGGGCTGTGGCTGGGCAGAACACTCTGTGGCGTGTGGGCTGTGGCTGGGCAGAACAGACCCTGTGGCGTGTGGCTGTGGCTGGGCAGAACACTCTGTGGCGTGTGGCTGTGGCTGGGCAGAACACGCCCTGTGGCGTGTGGGCTGTCGCTGGGCAGGACACTCCGCTGCAACATAGCGGTAACTTTTCCAACCGGGATACGGCCCGGCCGAGTTGGCCGGGTGCCAGACGGAGTCAGCCTCGGCCACTTCCCGCTGAGACCAGGTAAGCTCTGATCGTGCTGGCGACGCTTCGCCGTCAGCAGGCAGCTCTAGCTCACCCAGCAAAACTGGTAGCTGATGTATCTCCGCTCAATGACCTTGCCAAAACAGACCCGCTCGTCCTCTCTGGCGTCGGATGATTCTGATAGCAGCGCGGCCGCCCTGGCTGGCGGCAACGTCCCAGCGCGGCAAGACACGACAGACGTGCAGTACCTCAGGATCAACCGGCAGAATAATTCTGATCACATCAAGCTATGCAGATCACCGAACGGTGTTCTTCATGCGATACAGAGCCTTGCGTTTGCCGGTAGGTCCCCTGAGCTGTTTGGCGTCGCACGCTTTGCCTTGATCACTGTGTTTGTGCTGCAATCGTGCCTCCATCGCCGCCGCTCCACCAGTCGCATCGGCCTGGTGTCCTTGGTTTGGGATAATCACGCTGGCCGACGTCAGTCGCTGACTCGCTGACTCCGCCTCACCGGTAAATACCAACACTAACGTTCATGCTGAGTTTAGTTTTGTTTCGTCGCCCATCACTTGCTTCAGTGCCGGGTGACTGCCCAGCATCACTTGCTCAGGTGACTGCCTCGTCTCCGCCGTCAATCGTCCGGACGGCTCGCCGCCACGTGCCCGACTGGCTGGCTGGGGCGTGCCGCCGCAGAAATCCGCCAGCGTGCGGTGCAAAATCTGGGCTATCTCCTCAAGTTGTTACAGTTAGGTCAATGTTTGGTATGTTTACTTATTATTAGGTGCATTTGTGATATCGAAAAAGCGTAAGATTCATGTAAAAGACCCGTAAAAGTGTAACATTCATTTAACGGATCACCAAAAAGCAATTTAAAAAGTGTAAGATTTACGTTAAAAATAGCTAAACATTTAGTTTAGTGTGACTTTATCTTGTTAGATATCACGAACATTCGCGAGTGGGGCAATCTTGACCCCTCTCCAGTTGGCGGCGGGACTAGGGAGTTTTAAAGATAGTCCATGGGCACGCGCACGGTCAGGGGTTCATTTGACTCCTACACGGTGCTTCCAAAATAACTTTCGAACTGAGCCACGTCACGGAACCGAAGGTTGCACGGCTGTGGACATCACCATAGCCGAATTTGCCGCACAGCAAATAGACTATATGGTTTAAGGTCACTGACCTGTAGCGGTTCAAAGTCAGGGCTCGGTCATCAGAAGACCAGTTTTAAGACAGACTTCAAGCTAATGCGACGACAGAGTTTTAGATGATGTAATCTAGCCTTAGGATGATTTGTTACACATTCAGCTATTTTAAATTATAATTGCAACTAACTCCATTAACCTTGGGTCGCTTACAACAGACAGGCTGGGCAAAGTTCAGCATCTTTCTACCAGAAACTTTTTTTGGATTTTTTTGGCGCTTGTTTTACATTCCTTGATCACAAAGACATAACCAGGTTTCTGATAGTGACTTCGTGGTCAGGAGAGGCTGCTTACCTAACAGCCTTGAGCCTTGGTAAGCCTAAAGCCTTGATAAGCCTTGTGCTTTATAGCACTTGTCATCTAGGGTTATTCTCGACACTCGCTTTCAGTTCGAAAGGTCTGCAGACACATCCCATACGGATTTCGATGTTTACCTTTCTTGACCATAGTTGACTCGAATGCACCGACCTAGAGACTTAAAAACATTTGCATCAACGAGTTCACATAAAGTAATTCTTGCACTTTCGAAGTTGGTGCCTAGGTCTTAATTTCGATCTCCGATTGGATAAATCAGCCTCCCCCATCCTCCCGCCCTTTTCCACCCGCTATCCGACAGCTTTCCTTTACAGCGGCCTTCCGGGTGCGCGGTAATTACATGAAAAACCGCAATTTGTCAAAAATACAACAATTAACTGCCGAGTTTTTATGAGATCTTAAGAATCCCAATATGCATGCTTTGTTTTCAACCGCGTGTAACCACATCCTCATTACGTGGCGCCATAACCAATGTCTACTTTCCAATAATGCGGGTTTATCACTACAATTGCTAGAATAAGCAGTTTGAAGGGGCATGATTCACTAACGCGAGAAGAAACCTCAATATCCTTTTGCACGTGGCAGCTTTTGGGGAAGCGAAAAGGGGCGCCGGTAATCAGTACCTAGCTCACACTAGACCTCACCGCATTACTTGGTACGCGTGAGCAATGTGTGCCCCGTATAGTAACTGTGCACGTACAGACTGTCGTCGCTCGGGGAGTGGATTTGAGTGCGTTCATTGGACAGATAAACTCAGATTGTTTCTCAGCGCTCGCGGTCGGAATGGGATGGTCTTACATAGATCAAATCAGCGTGGAACATGGACATTGGACTCCACATTGCACTACTCGTTTCAACTTAGCGTCAGTGGCGGGGCTGTTCAAGAGTCGATGGCTTCGAGCTGAAAAGCAGCCTGAGCATGACAGCGTTCCACAACTCTGACATAGATCTTACCCTCAGACAATGTGGTAGATGCTCGAGGAGGTCCCTGAGGCTGTGCCCTCTGTTCCTGAGCCAGTCGTACTTCACATGTTGGATGACACGCTTTTGCAAATGCATGGGCACGCTCTGGTCCTTCATCTGGTTTACGATGACGCCCAGCATGTTCTCTATCTCGACACGAGCTAACTCCAGGTTACTTAAGGTCGAAGCTAGGTCACCGATGATGAGGCCTGCCGAGGGCATGCAGACACAAATAAACTCATGTTTCGGGACGGCATCACTGATAATTACTAAGTATTGTGTTATGTTACCACTGCACGCGTTTCATATACATTTGAATACATTTTGAAGGCACGAAATAGGCACCACGTCTCATGTACACTAACGAGTTTGAGTCGGAGCCAAAAAGCTTGAGTTTGGATTTGAGTTCGGTCCGTTATGTACTGGGCCTTAGTCATATCACGCAGTCACACTTCAGATTGCACAAGTTCTGGTTCGCATTCTGAGTCATAGGATGTCTAATCTGGTTAAGTCTGGCTCATTCAGATTAATTCTCTACTAGTCCGAGTCCGGTTCCGAGTCTTAGCGGAGTGGTTCTGGGCAGAGGCGGTGCAGCAGTGGGGGGGGGGGGGGGGGGGCAAATGGGACTGCTGCGCCCTCCTCGCAAATAGGCAGGGATGCAAGAGTATGTTTTTGGCCTTCACCTTCTGATACAAATGTGGGAAGCCCCCTTTTCTTAAACTCATCAAGGAGGCCACCATAACTGAGTTAGAGAGTAATTATCGTGCAATCGAGCTTAGGAGACCTTGGGCTGTACCAAGATACCCGTTTTCTGAATCATGACATCACCATTATGAATCAGGTAATGCTCTAGATCAGGAAGCCCAATATTGTGAGGCCCCCGCTACGAACTAGGAGGCTCCTGTTCTGGGTTAAGAGACATCCTCTATATTCAGCTGGTCCCATTCCTGAAACTGGATGCACCTTTCATGCATCGGAGGACCACGGTTTCGGATCAGGATGCTCTGTTTTGGGATAGCGGGGCCCAAACGGCTAGACTTGAAGGCCCGTTCATGAACCGGAAGCACTCTGTTCCAGTGGTGTGGGAATTATGTTCAAGAAAGGGAGAGGCAGACTTCAGAATGTTAAAATGGCCCCCCAAAGACAAGAAAGTGAACCACTACCAGCCAAAATGGGCCCCATACAGGTCAGAATATGCCCCATACATGCCAGAATTTATCCTCTACGGGCCAGAGTTGGCCTGTCATCGTCGATAATGAACCCTCTTAAGATCAAGATGGGTCATGTTCAGGCCAAAATGGGTTTTCTGCAGTCTAGAATGGAAACACTTCAGTTAACAATGGGCCCTCTACGAGCCACAGTACGCCCTCCGCAGCCAATAATGGGTCCTCTTCAGGTCAGAACGTTCCCAATGCGGGCCAGAATGAGCCCTCTGCAGGGGAAAATAGGCCCCCAACAGTCCGTAATGAGTCCTCTACCAGTCAAATGTGTCTTCTAGGCATTACATGTCAGAATAGTACATGACCTGCACGGGTCAGAGAGGGCCCTCGTTATGTCACAATGGGCTCTACAGGCCAGAATGGGCCCTATACAGCCCTGAATGGGCTCCTTTACAGACCAATATGGGTCCCTCATAGTCCATAAATGGTCTCTGCAGGCCAGAATGTGACCTCTACAGGCCAGAATGAGCGCTCTACGGGCCAGAATTGAACCTCCACAGGCCGGAATGGGCTCTACGCACTCAATCATGGCTGCCCTACAGGCCAGAATATGCGCTCTACAAGCTCGAATTGGCTCCTGTACATGTCAAAATGGACCCTCCACGGTCAGCAATAGGCGTTTAGTAGGCCAGAATGTGCCCTCGACAGGTCAGAGTGTATTTTTGCAGTCTTGCACAATCCTTAAATAGTTCAGCATGGCCCTTAACATAGCGAGATGAACCCTCCATAAGCCTTCAAATTGGGGAGAGGGTGCCCCCTAACTTTCAAGTTGGGGCATGAGCTGCCCCCACAGCCTCCTCCCACGCTTCCCGCGTTCTTGTCCTGTTCTGGATAAGGATGGGATCTATGCATCGGGAGACCCTTTTTTGGAACAAGAGGCTCTGTTTAGGTAGCGAGACCCTTCGCTGGATAATTAGAAGACCCATATTCAGGAATTTCAACTGTGGACATTTATTTGTTGGATATGATGCATGCAACAGTTTGTTAGGCGGTAACATACCCTCGGTGCCTCTCACCATTAAAAGCGACACTGCGGAGGAAGTCCCCTGAAAGGAGGTCACATTTTGTCCACGAGGCCCCTTGTGGAAAATACTGCCCCTATCCCAATTCAAAATCCTTGGCGGCGCATCTGGGTCTGGGTATAGGTCATGCAACATCGAATACGAGTCAGTGTTGATTACTGACTTATCAAATCATACCGGAGAATGTGATCAGAGGTGAACATTTTTGACAGAAGCATTTCACATTTGTAAGAGGGTTTGAGCTAAGATAGACATTTTGAAGATCCTTCGGTGCAGTGCCTAGCCCTACCTTCTTAAGACCCAAACCCCTCTAGTTTCTGAGCTACAGGCCCGCAAAGACGTGCAGACTATTTTGAGAAGACTATTTCTGATTCAAATCCCGTCAAATATCGTCATTCAGATCCCGTCATTCCATTGGCCATGCGGTGATCATGGCCAAGACAAATATAATCGTCGAGCCGTTGATATCTGGCGTTCGTTCTGGCACGATTTCCATTTGTAACGGCCGCCAGCTGGCTCTCAATTAATGTTGTTATGTTAAATTAAGGCTACGATGGCGTAATCAAATAAGACGCATTGAGGGCAGTATTTACTAACGGAGAAATTGTGTTGTTCAGTGCTGTTTTCCTTTGAAAAGCATATCAGTGGTTATAAGTAAAGTTATTTTATCATATCACTTCAAAGTTAGATCACCATACAATTTAAGCACGCATCATATGTCATGAAATGAGCTGACTTTAACTATTGGTGTGTTCTTGAGCGTAAAAATCTGCTCTAGATAATACGATTTCATCGTTAAATAAACATGCCCTTCAATACGTTATCGTTTGACAGCATAACGAAATGTTTGCATGACGTCCGAGAGCCTGCCTGAAAGGCCGCGCGAAATTACTTTCCTTCCGGACGGGCTGACTCACTTGAAGTCCTTCAGCCTTTCGAGAGGTGTTGTGATAAGGGGTGCGGCATTTCCGGAACCCGAATAACGTTGCATGTGCGTGTTCTGTCCCTTTTTGTGGTGTTCTCGCATATCAGTCCATGATCTTATAAATGTTGTTGATTTGCATTCACAAGCCCGGTTATGGCGCTATTCTTAGGTTATTGGATCACAAGCTTATTTCAGCAATAACTAGCACCAACGCCCAGCTTCCAACATTATGCAGCACAAAACGTGAGTCTTGTTTGAAACTTGCTCTGAGCGTTTGAGATTGAATATCAGCCAATCGAGACCCGTTGGTTCCAGAAATCGTCTTCATGCACGCCAGATATAAATAGCTCCACGGTCATATTTGTTTGGCCTTTAACGTCCCACGACCACTGGGGCGGTATGATTTTAGTGACGTTCCTATAGCGTCATGCATTTTTGGGTGACCTTAAGGCAGTATACACAAGACAGCAAGACAGCAACCCGAATAAAGTATTACTGGCCAAACAATCTTCTGAAACCATAACAAGATCCAGCTAAACTGCATCAATGCTTACGTTCAAAACTGGATCAGAGCATATGCATCGTACTCTGTTTCTGGCGGCGAAAATGTCACAATCAAGAAAGGGAAGCACCGCATTGGGTGCTGGGAACATTTGGTGCCAGCGTAGTGGAGACAACCACGCGTGTCTGACTTACCTAGCGCGAATTTTCCGAGCATGATGATGGGGATGCATAGCGTCGCCTCGTCCATGGTCTGAGGATGAATATCTCCGTAACCACTGCTGGTCATAGTTGCCACGATGAAGTAGACAGAGTTAACGTAAATCTCGAGATTTGTCGAATCCGACAGATGACGCTTAGATACCCACGAGCCATCTTTGCAATGCGCGTTCGGGCAGGCCACGATGTACCAGAAGCACGCGCAGATGTGGAACAGCATCAGCAGGATGCCGAGGTCGCGCAGGCTTCGAAGGAACAAAATCGGCGCGTTGAGACGACGCTCCCATGTGCGGAAAAAGTGATACGCCATGTAGACGCGGGTCAGCTGCACGAAACGGACGTTCGCAACGGTGCGACGGAGGACGATGCTTTCGGGTTTGATGAGGATTAGCACCCCGATCGGCAGGGCCGAGAGAACGTCAACCAGAAAACCTGTCGGGCGATGCATGTAGAACCGCCTCACAGTCTTGTAATCGCGTACAAGGTCACCGTAATTATCGTAGTAAGCCGTGTGCATCCGTACGTAAATGTTGAAAATGTAAACGCAGGTGCACAGGCCGAGCACAACGTCCAGCTGGACGCTGAAGTCCACAAATGCCGCTTGGTAGAAGAGCACGGCGTTGGATACCGCGCCGCAGACTGTCAGGAAGAGATTGAATATGAGGAGCAACCTGGACTCTGGGTTGATGACAAAGTTGGAAGGAAGTAGTCTATCCATCAGCCTCCCGGTGCACCGACACCATTTGGTGAAGCACGACGGCGCTCGCAGCTCGCCGCGCATGCTGTGATAGCTGACGTGCGACCGGTCTGACTTAATGGAATGGTCCACCGAACTCCGCGAGCATTGGCTCTGCCGCCCGGTGGCTGGTGTGTGGTCCGTCGGTTCCAAGTCGAATGACATTTTGGACTCGACTTCAATGGTCTGTTCGCTCATGTACACCTCGCGGACTTCACCGGAGGCGTTGCTGGTGATGGAGACACTCGGTGATACGCGCTGCGATCCAGAGCTCGCCGGCATTACGTCACTCTTCTCGTCAGGGACGACGTCGTGCGACAAACTTACTTGAATAGAAGGCACGCGTGTGAGCGCTTCCGCCATATTGTCTCCGTTTTGTGTCTTAGACGCGCTTTCCTTCGTGTTCGCCGTGCTGGTTTTTATCATGGGTTGACTGCCACCCGGTCCCGAATCATGAGATGCACTGGGGATGGGCGCTGGAGCGCCGCTTTCTGCGGGTGGCGGCGATTGGCTCTGTGCACGCTGCTCCGAGCCCCCAGAGCCGACGTCTGCTATGTGCCCCGCAGAAAGACCCAAATGGGAACCGCCGCTCCTGTGGAAATTTACCGGATGCGACGAAATCCAGTCGTGGGTGAAGCTTGACACCGCTTGTTTCACTTGTTGGGCAAACGAGCCTCGTGGTGTTACTTGCCTGGCGTCGCCTCGCTGCTCCGCTTCCTCTTGATCCAGGAGCTCCTGATACTCCTCTGTCAGCATGGAGTGTCGACGCTGCTCGTGCCTTTCGCTGCTGTTAAATGGGCGTGGAAGTGCCGAAGCCAGCTGGTCCATCAAACTACGGCTATGATGAGACTTGTGCTTGCGACCATGACGCATCTCCACAGACCCAATGCCGACGCCCGAGCCCGGCGCGCCAGGGCTCTTCGAGAGCCGCCTGTAGCTCAAGTTCTGGCTTACTTTCGACGACTGACGATTGCCCGTGGCATGCAGTCTGGCCATGGCGATGCGCTCAATTTCGCGCTTGATCTCCGGATAGTTTTCCAAAACATCCTGGAGATCACTTTTCGTCAGCACAAACAGATCTGTGTTCGTCTGGGCGCGAATCGTTGCCGTCCGCGGAATTGAGTACATGACACTCACCTCCCCGAAGAAACGACCGGGACCGAGACAAACGGTTACAGTGCCTTCCTGATCAATAATTTCACAAATTCCACGATGAATAAAGTACATCTCCTGGCCCATATCCCCCGCAAAAATGACCGTTTCGCCCTCCAGAAAGAACGCCTCCTTGAGGCACATGGCCAGCATCCGGTGAAAGCTGTTATCGATAGTCTCAAAGATCGGGACAGAGCTGATGAGGCTTTCAAACAAAACAAAGGAGACATCTCCTCGGATGCTAGGAGGAAGGTTCGAGAAGAGCAAATGAGCCTGCATACCCTGTGACCGAGAAAACTCGTACTCAATGTGACGCACTACCTTCTTCTGCAGAACCACGGGAACCACCTCATACAACATTTGTTTGCGAAGTTTCTTCACCCGCTCGTTGAACTTGGCCCGAGTAGTGTCTGCGTTCACGAGGCTAGCTGTCACACTGGCGATGATATAGCCGAAAAAGATTACTCCGTGCACCATCAAAATAATTGATATTATGTATTCAGTGCGTGTTTGAGGAGTGATGTGTCCATATCCCACCGAAGCGACCATTTCTAAGGTAAACAGCACACTGATTACGTAAAAGTCTAATGGCCCTCTGTATTTCGTGAATCCAGAGATGGAATACCAGGATATGTCACGGCAGTTTTTGTGCAGTGAAATAAATTCAGAATGGTTGTGGTAATGAAATTCGAGAAGACGCTCTTCAGGATCCCATGGCGTAACGTGTTCTGGCGCCGACGTCGGGCAGGCCAGATATGCCCAGAAACAAGCGATAATGTGCACATACAGCCCAAAATAACAAAGGTGTTTTATAGCCTTTAGCAGTCCCCTGCGAAGAAGCACTTCCTTTTCCCAGTGAGAAAAGGCCAAGAAGAACTCGTATGCCTGAACGAGACGATTCAGCCTAAAAAGCACGATCGTATGGAGATTCTCATATACGTTGCCAACGTAAAATAGCATGGCGACTATATCAAAAGGAAATGAGGCGATCATGTCAAGTGAGAAGGCCGACACTAAGTAGTTGGTAGCTGTCAACAAAGGGTGAGAAACTAACGTGCATGAAGCATCATAGTACGCGGAGTGCAGCCGTAGGTACATGTAGGCCGCAGTCGTTGCATCCAGCATGAAGCCAATGACGTAAAGGCCGAGCGCCTGTGGCAGAAACGTGACGTGCACCGGCGTGATGATGAGCAGCAGCATGATGACCACCAGACGAGCGCACGCCAGCCTCGTGGCGAACTTGCCGTCTGGCCGCACAGTGCGCTGCATCAGCAGTCGGCCCAGAAACGACAGACGCCCCAGCCGGTCAAAGGGGTTTTGACCCTCTCCTTCCTTCCGTTCTTCCTCCGATAATTTGACGAAGGACGGAGGCTCGTCCAGGGTAAAAAGCGAGCCCTGCCGGCTCGGAAACTGACTAGCTAGGCGCCAGACACGTGCATGGTTCAGTTTGACAGCGCGCAGGACGGCGGCGTTCTCCTGAATTTCGCAGATTTCCTTATTAACTGTCGGGAACTTTTTCATAATGCGCTGAAATTCGCTGTGTGGGACTGCCAGCAGATCGCAGTGGGTCCGTGTGACGACGTGAGTCGGCCTCGGCAGACCGTACAGCATACCAGCCTCGCCGAAGTATTGCCCCGGTCCGATCAGGCCGAGAGACTTCTCCCTGTTGCCGAGGTACGACTCGCAGTACCCACGCACCACAATGTACATGTCGCGGCTCAGGTCTCCGCTGTACAACACGTACTCGTTGGGTGGGAAGAGGTAACGTGAACACTTGCGCCCAAGTGCCTGTCGAAAGGCCAAGTCCGTGCCGTAAAACAGAGGGATGTCGCCCAGTAGCTTGACAATGCCGTCGGAGGCCAGGTCTTCCTGCAGTGCTTCGGGCAGATCGTACAACAAAAAGGCATTGCCAGACATGACCAAGCCGTTGTATGTATGCCACTGAAGCTGGAGATAACGCAGAACGCGCATTCGCAGGAGCTTGTCCAACCGGTTTTCCACCATAAACTGATCCATGGCAAATACGATTGATTGAAAGTTTATCTTGGGTCGTTCTTGGTTCGTTAAAAGCGATGCATATGAGGCTAACGAGAAGGCAAAAAGCACCAGCCCAAACACCATGACTAAGATGCTAATGTGGTATTCCAAGGTGGTCATTGCCACGATGTCACCGTATCCAGTGGTGGACATCGTGGCTGCGGCCCAGTACAGCGACAGAATGTACGTGTCGCCTCTAGACGTAGTATTCGCTTTTGAAACTTGCTCCATCTTTTTGATATAGGTAAACTGTTCCATCCACATGTCAGTATGCGGTTTTTCGAATAGGATCTGGTCGATATTCGAGTCCATGAACCACAAACAAGCCGAAAAATGGATGCCCATCAGAATGTAGGTGATCAGTTCTACAGGGCGGATGGCGCTCAGTGGTATATACAGCTGGTCTTCCAGATACTTAAAACGTTGAGGTATCACCCAAACCTTGGCCAGTTTGTTCAGCTTGCAGATAGTGACCAGCCGACTTGGCCTAACGGATGACATGGATATCACAAACGGCACGCAGATTAAGTCCAGTGGTAGCGCGGCCAGCAGGTCCAAGTAAAACGCCACCTTTTTGATGCGGTAGTGGAAGATGTCACTGTACGTTTCATAAGTTTTCCGGGGACTGATGACGATGGTCATTAGGCTGAACACAATGTCTACCACATGGACAGTGTCCAGCAAGTACGTTAGTGCCAACAGCCCAGGGGAGTACCCATCTTCAAAGCTCGCGTAGTATAGATAGATGTACCATTGTGCTATTACAACCAGGCAAACAATCGTCTTCCAGACCATGGCGAACCGGCCGTCGTCTTCAATGCACGGATTCTTGACGATTGTCCACAGCCTATGGACAAGGGTCTTGTCGTGAACCTTCTCCGGCCGGAGCAAGGCTGCACTGTTGTCTAGATGCAGTTCGGACGTGTCCAAAGGTAGAATGTGAGTGGTGGGACGCCTCACCTGTTTGTAAACGCTTTCACCTTTAGCCCAGGTGAAGCGTCGGTTTCGTAATTCGCCGCTACCAGTGACGTGCGTTAGCTCGTCCGGTTTTTCAAAAGCTGGGACCGGCTCCCACTGTTCAGCGCTTCCGCGCGGCTGTTCGCTGCTCGATACCTTTCGGGTAGACGGCGAAAAATGCGCTCTCGGCTTGTCTAGCTGTCCTGCTTGCGTGGAAGGTTTTGATGACTGATTTTGTAGCTTTGCGTGTGACGACATATTCGCAAAAGATTCAAACGATCCAGCCCTTTCTCTAAACACAGGTACGCTTGGCGACATCATCAGGGTATCCTTGGCGATATTCCGCTGCTCTAGGGTAGCAGCAGAAGCGTTGCCTGTAAACCCAGCGGAATGTGCAAGTTTTGGGAACCTGGATGAAAAGCCTTGTTCCTTTTTGGATGGCATGCTTCCATTTTCATTCTCCTCTTGCGTTTTTGCCTCGAACAATGACAGCTTGGCCTCTGGGGTTATGGGACTTTCATCGCCTTCCGCCATAGCGCTCAAAGTTGGCGAGAACCTTCTGCCGGAGGATTGCTTCCCAACCGGTCTTGTGCTGACGAGACCGGACTTTTCCGCCGTCACACTGGCCAGTGAAGCATTGCTCTCAAAGTCGGTATCAAACAGCTCCCTCACATACACCCACATGGCAAGGCGTGCGTCGGGGTAGTGCAGCAACACGGGCGTCACGTCGTGCTGGCTGAGCACCAGCAGGTCGCAGTGTGTGGCTGCTCGGATTGTCGCCGTCCGGGCGAAGTTCAGCACCAGGTTGACCTCGCCGAAGAGCTTGCCCGCGCGGAGCACGGCCACCGCCGTGGTGTTATCGCGATCGCTGAGGACCTCCAGCTCACCGCGCACGATATAGTACATGGAGCGGCTGACTGTGCCTTTGTTGATGACGATCTGTCCGGGCAGGTAAAACTTATTTTTGATCTTCAGCGCGATGGAGCGCAGAAAACCTTCGTCCAGCTTCTGGAACATCGGCGACTTGCTCAGCGCGCAGCGGTTCACACTCAGACAAATTTCTGACTGCAGTGAGAGCGGCAGCGTTTCATACATGTTCTCTTTGGTTTGACCTTTTTTCTTGAACCACATGTATTCGTAGAAAGCCCTGAATGGACTCAGCTATCTCAGAGGGGTAGCTGTTGTCCTCCAGATAGCGTTTGATAATCTTGAGCCGGTGCGTGAAGATGGCCCGCTGGCTTTCCACATTTGTCAGCAGAGAAGTGAGACTTCCCACCACAAGGCCATTGGTGATGCAAGCTCCGAAAAGCATCGTCAGAATGCTTAACCTGATCTCATCATAGTTAAGACCACGGTAGTCGCCATAACCGACACTGACTGCTGTGGCAGTGGACCAATACACCGAGACTGTATACAGGCTCAGGAAGAAATCGAGATTTACGGACTCCCCCACCTGAAAAAGATCTAATGTCCAGCTGTGCCTGTCAAAGCTCTCGAGGGGAGTGTACACAAGGCCAAACTTATGAGAAACTTCAGAAGCGTTTGGATGCGTGAAACCCTTTGCCACAGTCGCCCAGCAAAGTGGGTAGCTTACATAGTCGTCCAAAAACGGTCTGCAGTTCATGGAGTACCAAAGGCAAGCCGAGACATGGATCAACAACGTTAAAGCACACGTCGCCGACAATATATCGGAGTAGCGTGTGCCCAAAATGACATCGTCCTTTTTTTTGCCAAAAAACTGTGCAATGCGATACACTCTGAGTAGTCGATTGAGTCGACCTGCAGCGTATGTATCGCCACGGAGGATAATGGACGTATGCTTCGAATAGCGAAACAAGATATATTCAAGTGGGATGGCCGTAATCAGGTCAAACAGACAAGTACGACGGCACTGCTGGCGGTAGTGCAGCTGGTTCGGTGTAGACCATGCCGATGCGGGACTTAGAGCCACAAACGTGATGAATAGCAGATGGGCAATGTAGATAGCATCACACGTGTAAAATACGACGAGTACGAATACGTTTGTCCGATGAAAGGCGAACAGGAACGTAGCTGTGACGATGCTCAGGTACACGGAGGTAACCACTATAACTTCGATCATTTTCAAAAGGGGTGAACTCCAACCGATTACTTTTTTGAGATGTTTAAAAACGACATAGCACGATTCTAGCGCAAACTCAGCTGCTGAGTCGATGGTTCCGATGTCTGAGACGCTAATTTCATCATCATCTTTCTCATCAACATATTCTGATGGCGGGCTGTCATCAATGATGACAGAATCTGAGAGACTGATGATATCAGAGGTCTCAGGAACCTCGAGATGATCTGTGGTTTCATTCATTGTGACATGGGAAACCTGGAAGAGAAAAAACAACGTTATGCGTTGCACGCACAGCGTTCATATAAGCAGATAGCACTTGGTATGCGGTACTTTGCGTTTCATTGCATTGCATCTTATTTTTCACTTTTGTGTACCAAAAAATGAATCATGAAAACGCTCCATACCTCAAGTGAATTCAGGAATGACGAAATTAGGAGGAGGGGTACACGGTACTCGCTGCCACCAATAGCACGTCATCAGCTGACAGCCATGACAATTGGTTACGCCTTTGATCACGTGCTCCCACTTGAAGCGTTGGGTACTTCTTCGGAAAACTGGAAAAACGCATGGAGAATGTCCATCACGCTATTTCTGGACTACAGTTCATTCGCAGCGCAAGCGGCATTGTGGCCGACAAAGGCGTAACCAATTGTCATGGCTGTTATGGCAATATTCGCTTTGATTCCTTTTCACCATCCCTATTTGCAACCTAGCTCCGCGTGTGCAAAAATTGAGGATTATTTCTGCTTTTCTGATAACAAAGAAAAACACCATCTCATGTGCTCCACATGCCCCCAATTCAAGGCAAGTTATCACTACTCTTATCATCACTCGGTTTGCAGCTTCGTGATACGCACCTTGAGTCTCCAATTTACAAATGTTTCGATAGCATAGCAGTCATCAAATTCTGAATCGCTTAGCAAACAGATCACAAATGCCGTTTAGAAATGATTTTTACGCTTTTGTTAATAAGGTATACAAAATTATTGACTTGATGTTTTTTACGAATGTAACATTTGTCCCAAGAAATCAAACGCTGTCTAGTTTCTCATAATCGGTCCAGTAGTTTCCAACCTCTAAGTAAGAGAAAGCAGAATCCGACTCCTGCCCAGAACAGTTCACCGGAAAGAGGAATGCGACAGCTAGCATTACAGCATAACCCTGTTGTTTAGATAGTTACCACTACAGTTTGGTCTTATAGTATGACCATTCAATTAATTAGGTGGGAATAGGGTTATCGTAGGGCCCACCAGCAAGAAGGCTGAGCAGAGTAGCGCTTACCAAAGTCTTATCAGAGTGCATATGATTTTACACTTCAGCAAAGACGTGGCAGTTAATTGGTAAATATTTCTGCAGCTCGGGCGTATTGCAGTATGCGTCTCAAACCAGTGTAAGACCGGGTCCCTGGCAAAGGGCAGAAATTTATAACCATAACGTCATAGCGTCTGCCTTACCATCATAAGGCAGAAATTGGCCGATGCCCTTTATGCGTCTGTGCAATACACTACACCACAATGACCACGCCGTTCAAGATCCCATGATGAAGATGTAAGGATCATGGGCACTGACCTCATCTGGAAAGTTCAGCATAGAACTGCTGTTATGTATGGCAAAACAAGCTTTGTCCCTTTTCTTCTTCGTCGAAGGCTTACATTCCCAATAATTACACTCGTATATCATGTTGAAGCACCGCTAACCCTATTTTTGTAATAATGTTTCACAGCGCCTGTTTTTTTTCTTTTAAAAAAATACCTCAGTTATGGGGGCTGTGCGCACTAAAGATAATATCTCATTGTAGTCTAAACCGAATGAACATACAACATTGCCTCTGAAAGAAAAACATGTCAGCACTAATGACAATGACGACAAGCACGCTGCAAATGACGATGACTGAAAAGCCTCCATCTCTTAAGCATCTTTCAACCCTAGCGGTTTGCCCCGAAACTCAACCGAAGTTGGAAATAATATTAAGTGCCACTCGCTTTGAGGCTGGGGAACACCGGATGCCCAGGGGCTCTTGGGCTCACAATATTCGAAGTGCGGATCGCATCATGCATTTGACCCCGTCAACGTTTAGCACCTTGACCATACTAATAAGGCAGGCTTGAACATGGTTAACAGCCAATGATAATGTTTCAGGCATTCCAAACGAAAGTCATGTCCAACCCAATGTATTCGCGGCTTTCATGCAGTTTTAGTTAGTTTGGATTTTTTCCTTGCCAAATTTGAAGTCTCCAACCTCAGCGTCGTCCCCGCGCCCAAACACTTGTCTGCACAGGTCCACGGTGTTAGAACCCTAAATTTGCAGAAGCGTTGCAAATGGCCCTCTTGCAGAAGAGTATTAGGTCATGAGCTAGTTAAAAGAAACGTGCCTGATCGATATCAGTTCCATATCAGGAAGAGATGCAGCATCTGCATAATGCTTATGATGCTTCAGTTTTGAACGATCAGACCATGACGTTAATCCACTTATTCCACTTGCAACAAAAGGGCTTGCCTTGAATCCGTGAAATGCTTTTCCTTGGCTTGACCTGCGACGTCTGGCTCGTTATGATAGCTTAGGTGGTTAAAGCGCCTGCGTTACAATTCGCCCATCCGTGGGTGAGTGGGTTCGAGCCGCTCTCGGCGCTCGCTATTTCTCCCTGCCTGAGATGGCCAGCGGCCGGTGGCTGTGACCGCTCAAAAGATCAGGCAACGTCAGAGGGCGTGAGAGGCCGTGCCGAGCATTGTGGGACCTTAAAGCGATAGTTCCACATTTGCATGGGGTTCAGAGGTGACAAAGGCAAGTTCTAGATCACTCCCTGCAGTTCACAGAAATGCCATTTTGTGACTTAAAATGCCCTTGTTTCTGAGCTGGGCGCACGCAAGCTTGTGCACTCTTGCGCGCCGCCTAATTTTAAGTCACCTTGGAATAATGGCGTCACAGAAACGTCACACGAAGCTCCTCAATGACCATGTTGCGTTCAAGGTAAGACAAATATGACCGCTGATACATTGGCGCTTGAGTACGTCAGCAGGTTGTGTAGCACCAAGGACAGCAGTTGGCTTATACTGAGCCTAAGGCGTTCAATGCAACATTTAAACGTGAACCACGCTTTGTGATCCATGATGCAGCAATTTGGACAATGCTACTAGTTTTGACGGAGAGGATCGGAATCAAATATTCTTAAAATAGCGTCGCAACCGAGCTTGCAAGTGCGGGTAAAACGTACCATATCACAGCCCATATACAAGACCACCACAAGATAACATGCGCAGATAGCGATATTTGGTTCAGTTCACGCGCATCAGCTAAGAGCCATCTCTCAGCGAACTGAAGTACTACAAAATGAGCCAGCTCGTCCGCTACAGTGGCAATTTTGGCACAATCTCGCAGCATAAAAGAGCTCCATGACGTACTTCATAAAAGAGCTCCATGACGTAATCAAGCGATGACGTATCGGTGAGAATATTATAAGGAATGGTGAGATTTTGTTGTCTATAGCCGTCTTTTACACTTGAGGGGTGCTCCACATTTGTCTGGGGGTTTAACCGCAATAGCAAACTTCAAGATCATTTGATGCAGTTCACAGCCTTTCCCCTCTTAAGAACTAAGCCACTGTAGTTTCTGAACTGCACGCCCGCGAAGATGTTCAGGCTATTTGGTGAAGACTATTTCAAGATCACCCAGACATCTATGTCGCCATCATAGCGCCATTCAAATATAATTGTTAATTCGTTTCTATCTAGTCGTTTGTGAGCATGGTGAGCACGATTCCCGGAGAAAACGGTCGTCAATTGGCTCTCAATCAATGTTTTGTAAGGTATAATGCCTCAATCAAACAATGACGTGTTAAGGAACATATTTAACAAGTAGAGAAACTGCGCTGTCTAGAACAGTCTTTCCCACTTAAAACTATCCCAATCGTTACACCTGAGCTTATTTCATGTCTGGTACTTGCTTCAATATCTTCGGATGTAAAATATTCCTTTTAAAAGCATACCAGCAGTTACA